TTCGATCTATGAGTTTGACTGTCCCTCTGGTATATCTCGTCCCTCTTTTACATGCATCAAAAGAAAATGTTCATTAAATGTACAGCCAATATTGTTTAAGGTCAATTTTGGCTGAGGAAGTTGCAATTAGTACAGTACCATAATATTTGAACTGCCACAATTTGTCATTATGTTTTTTTTTCGACTCTTTGGATTTTAAAGCTACAAGTAAAACGATATTATGTATGCAAAGAATCGCATCACATTTCATAGAGATAAAACTGCTTTCATTTGATAGGAGCCGTTCTAAAATTTTGTGTCTTCTGTTTTGTCGAAGTGTTACTTCAAGGACAACTTGATTACGAAACGTTTGTTGATTTTCTTATATTACACAAAGGAAATTGCAAGCATGCGTCAATGGTTAAATGTGTATTGGTTTACTTATACCTGATAAAACTAAAAGTAAGTTGTAGTCTTAGTGAAACTATGTAATGTACACCCACCATATGTCAAGTATAAAGATCTAACAATACATACATTTACAAGTGAGTCAGATCATGACAATGTAGTATGTCTTTAAAGTCGTTCGCTGTGCATAAAACTCAACTATTTGTAGAAAAAAATCGGTGACCGCTTATAATTTGGATCACAAATTATATAATGTTTAAGAGAATTCGTAGGACAGGAATTCGAGAACTTATAATTTCACTTGAATAAACATTGCTGAACTTTAAAGCGATATTTACGCGTATTCTGTACATTTGAACTTCTATTTATTTTTATATCTAATTTGCTTAACCACGAGAGTATCAAAGTCCCTATATCATTTTTTTCCGATATTCATATGCAGAACTTCATACTGTAGTTGCATGCATTTACAAGGTAAATATATAACATTGGGGAAGTTTTTGATTCTGGTTCCTTTTCCTACATATTACTCATCACTCCATGTCTTTTTTTTTTATCAAATAATCAAAAACAAAATATAAACCCAAATGATACCAGGGCAAAATTTAGTTAACCAACATTTTGTTTAGATTTTGACTGCTTTGTTTAAATTACTACATTGTTCAGAGTTATCTGATTTCTCCTCCTTTTTAAAAGTCGTTCAACGCATTGAAAGTAAATGAAACGATTAACACTTCCGTTTTAAAATAAGAATATGCTGGTCATTAAATGACACAGTGACGGGTAGATCCGATAAAATCAGTATTCAAAATGGTGTCATTTTTCTCTTGTTTGGGATTTCCAATCTACACCTTTTGTCCATATACTTGCTTAACCCCAATTGTAGAGATGTAACACAATCAATTTTGTTTTGTATTAAACACCATATTATTGACCTCAAGTGATTCATTGAAATGCATTTGCCGATGTAGGAGGGATTGCAGATGATAGATAAAAAAGGATATAATCCAAACATATCTCGACATTAGATGAAAAAATATTACTGCAATTTTACAGGTTAAAGGTAGGGGGGTTCTGTGATGTAGACTGACATGATATCACTATATGCATGCTGTTGTTACTAGAATCTTAGTTGATTGAGTTGATTGCTTTATTGCTTTATTACGTTTTCATTAACGCCCATTGACACATGTTAAACTACAATTTGAAAAAAGAAGGTACAGGGAAAAGAGGAAGACATTTTGTCTACCCTGCAAGGGATCTTTACCGTAACGAGAGCAAAATACAATCCCTACAAGAGGCATTGATTTTTGCATACCATATCCAACCGGATGTGGCTGCATATTTATATACGCTAAACGGACGCCAAGCTTTAACAAGGTAAAAAACGCCAAGTTTGAGATGTCCAGTTGACCTATTTCTATACACAAGCAAACCCTTAAGGCACAATTGATGCTGTTTAATCTATTATGCTATTCATAAATACATACATAAACGCAAACACTCCATGAAAGACTTTCATCGACATGCCACAATCAGATATAGTGTTACAACCCATGATGAAGCCGACGACGAGGAAAAGCTTCCTTCGAATTACAAAAACTATATCTAGCCGAGTTGTGTCAATTTTCAAATACACATTTTAAATATATGTATATATCTTTTCTAGTAATGTATGAATATAAATAGATCATATGAGGAAAGTGAAGCAAAATACTAGTATGTATTTTCCTAGAGAACATTGTTTTGCAATAATATGTTTTGCCAACCAACAAAGTGAGGCATCTCCTTACAATGTGCGCAAATTATCATTATTGATATAAGATCATGACATTATTAAACGAAAATAAACAGAATTGTTTTTCAATTTTAGATTTAATATCAATTAGCGATAAAAGAAATGTAATTACCTTTTGATTGTTGTATATCCCTAAGAGTATTATTTTTTTAAAAACTATCTGCATTGTCAGGTAAACCATAAAATTCTTAACAATATCTTCGGTGAACCTGTGTTTTCAATATTTTACTTGTAACTAATGTTTAGAAAGCGACCAATTGTTCTGTTCTCGGTAATCATTTCTCGTGGAAGATACTTTATTTCCTTCCGTATGTTAAAATGAAAAGAATTCAATGATTATGAAAAATTGTAAAAACAAAAATATCGGTAAACTACAAGCGATGTATTAAGTGATAATTGTATTCAATTTACAAAATGTTGTGTTGAAATTTTTAAAATCAGATTCTTCTTCTTCCCAATGACCTTCTGTGCAACAATAAACCATTTTTAAAATGTATATAAAGACTTAGTCTAGAGAGCTGTAGCTATAACTTTATGTCCGTTTAAGTCAGTTGTTCATAAAATTATTGATTTATTTCTAATGTTTTATCATATTTTTAATATACTGATACCTGGTGGCCATCACTAAAGAGACATCATTAACCGAAAAACGCATCTGGTGCAGTTATATTGGTACCGTTTAATGTGATCAAGGACACTGAGTTAATAGCTCTGCTGGTGGAATGTTACTCCCAAAGGGTATCACCAGTCCAAAAGCTCAGTACTTCTCAACTAGCTTGAACATACTAATATGGTTTAATGACATTCGAAGTTTTAGAAGTCAGAAAATAATTTGAAGTTAAAGCATTTATCTCCCTCGTTTAAAGCTCTGATTCTTTGACCTGGTTTGGCAATACGCTTAGTCTTTTGTCAGTTATATTAGCGCTTCTATGTTTCTATTAGGTTTTGGTTTTGAAATAATGTTGCCTCAAGCATCACTCTGTTGGCATGAGTTATAATTGATATGGTCATAGCTATAAATTACCTGTTGATAAATCTTTGAATTTTTCGAAAAACTAAGGTTTTTCTACCCCAGGAATAGATAATCTTAGCTGTAGTTGGCAAACTTTTCGGAGTTTTGGGTTCTCAATGTTCTTCAACTTCTTACTTTATTTAGCCTTTTTAACTTTTATGATTCGAGCGTCACCGATGAGTCTTTTTTTGGACAAAACGCGCGTCTAGCGTACACAATTTTAAACCTGGCTTCAATGATGAGTTAACTTGGTACCGTTTGATGTAATTTATATATTTACTTTTCCGTTAAACGTAACATATGGTAAAGTTCATCAGGCGCGGGTTCATTTTTTTAAAAGGGAATCATAGGCGATCCATATTGCATAGGGGGTTCCATCCTAATTTTACGTGTAACCTTGATCCGCAGTTGTACCTGTTCTGATCATATGGCTGGTTAATCTAGATTTTAGATTCCTGTCTCATAATCAGTGTAAAAGAAGATCATGACTCTGTAAAACAAGTTTAACTAAAAAACTACAGGTACAAGCAATAGATAATAACGTATCAATCAACTATCAGTTACTGCACCCTAGGTACTTTGTCTGCTGATAAGAAATCCTACCGTCCTACACTCTAATATTGGGTAGAAGATTTTACACAGCAGAGTTATAAGACAGTTTCATGTACGAGAATAAAGTTAAACAGAATATCAAGACAGAAAAATATTAAAGAAACATTTGTCTTGTTTCAAGCCATATAATAAAGAATTGATGATACTGTCGAAAAATACAAGACGCAATGATTGAACAACAACAAAATAATGATAACCCTTATCAATAAGTCTGTTAAGCCATAGAGTAACATTTAAAGGAATTGTTTTTCAAATTAGGCATGAAACTGAGTTTTCCGGTGAATTTACACTGACTAATAATCAAAATATCAGACAATTTCAAAGGTTAGAAAGAAAACAAAAAATCACAGAATGTCATGTTGCTGCAATAAGCTAGAATATTTAAAGCCAAATAACTCCCTAATTCTAACATCAAAACGCCAATTTCATTATGTATGCAAGCTTTGGAAAAATGAGGTTAGAGGAAAAACGTTCAAAATGTGTTCATTTACAATGATAGGAAATAGATAGTCAAAGTCCAACAACTTCCGCACACTCTATCGAATCAAAATAGCTGCATACTATTGTTGGCTGCAAATGCCCCCAAAAAAAGCATGAAAGCTTCTATACAAAGTATCTTTCAAAAGGTGGGATAATGCTACAGTAGACTCAAAATTGTGTTTTAGTCCTATAACTCTTGTAATTCAAATCAACACAGCATATTCAACAACACACAATCAGAACGTTAATCAGAAAGATTAAAATAGTACCGTTTATAAATTGTCATTATGCTACATCAAGTCTCCAAGCGTATGCAAAAACTATGAACTTGAAATAAAAATGACGGTACAATACGGACAAACTCTCCTGATCAATATGTAGGTAAAGATAAAGGTGGTCTAAGAAGCGAATATTACCCAAAGTGTTACTTACAGACGGACGGATGGAAATTATTATTGTATATAAACGACAAAACAAAAACCTTTGTGATATTCTAACTTGTCCATGTTGTCAATTTAAGGGAAAATTTTCGTTAACAAAAATTATGCTTATTTGGGGTCATTTTGGAACTTGATAAAAACGAGATAACTATGAATAGATTTGATATACCAAGGTAAGTTTCTTTCGTTGTTTCTCAAAATAGTTAAAAGCTATATGCATTTGTTTGCATTTCATTATGCGATTCAAAACCAAAATACACTGACACCAATATAACATAAAAATAACATTTAAATAATATTTAGTCTAATAGAAATGAAATATATAAGGAGCAAACATAAAATTTTGTCGACTATAAAGCAAATCAAAAATAAAAACAGTCCAACAAAGTTAAACAACAGTGGCTTGGTTTGAAATATGCACAAAATTCAGAACACGGTTTAATTGCAATTTTTGTTCTTCAGCGCAATTAGACATTACAATTAGTCTTTGCATGAGACCATTAAGTTTATTGTTAAAGTCAAAATTCAGAACAGTAAGTTTCATTTCACTGTCGAACGTCACAAAATACATTGAAGGAAATGATTCAATGGATTCAATTATATTTTGTAGAAAACAAAAATGCAAGTCATTCCATAGGTCTCCACTATTATCATAACACTGTCTCAAGAAGCTTATTACCATATTGTTAGTAAGAACGACGAGGATAACAGTGTCATTTGAGAAATCCCTTGCCATATTCAGGCTGCCATTATTACACTTCACCATTAGATATTCCGGTTGCACAAGACGGCAAGTAGTTTTATTATGAAACCATTGCTTTAAATGTTCCACATGTTTCGGATCAGCATCGGATAAAGGTACGATATATAACTTTCCGAACACGTTTGGGTCATTTCTGTTTTGTTCAATCAATCTTGACGAACTATCTGTATTCTGAATGAAATGTCTTCTTCTCTTGGTAAAAATGAATACTGACAAAATAATGAATAGTGCAAAGACTCCTGCTACAATTACCAAAAGCATCCAAATGGCGCCTTTATTTGGATTTTCTGGCAGTATAGTTGATGTCATGAAATTTCTAACAACTTGTATATCTGAAAAAGGAAAGAAAATATTATTTCATGTGATTGGCTCTGATATATTCTCATGAAATAACTTTCGAAAAGCTAAAAGCAATATTTATATTATCAATAGCAGATACAAATATCATGAATGAACTTACCATTTCTAATGTATCTGCAGGAATTGTCACAAGCTGTACATTGTGGTTTGATCTGAAATGTTAATATCATAATTATATTCAATATAATCACTTAGAGTTTATATTACAGTCTTTGTTTTTAATTAATCTTGTCACACATTTTTTATGCACGCACCATACGAATGTCTGTTTGATTTTTAGCTTATCTTTGTGAATTGTGTTCTGTTTTGTCATACATATTTTGTTTTATATATATATCATTCTTTACGACGAACAAATTAATTGACACTAGTAAACTTATTTTCATCTTAAACAGTCATTTTGATCTGAACAGCTCTACAATGTTGAAGCATTTTGGTGTAAGGATCACACCCCTGTTAATGAAGTACTAAAGTGTGAACATACACGAACGTAACGAATTAATTAAGATATGAAAACGCCATTAATGGGGCAGAGGGTGGTATGTTACTACTGTAAAAAAGCTGATCTGTAAGGTTTACCAACTACATGCAACAATATGGCATGCAGTGTGTTACAATCTCAGATAAAGCCGACAACAACAGACATCAGTCAACTAAATAAAGCTAAAGTTTATATAGACAAGGTGGTCGAGACGTCTAGGACATAGTGTAGGCGATGTTGCAGGGGGAGCTAACATTTGGGAAACGGAAATTTCCAGTTCTAACATTGTAAGGCTAATTTTCAGGCAATATATATATAGATTGAGATATCCATCTTGTATAACCATAGGTGATCCGATGGAGAACATCGACTGTTGTAAAATTGACGCATATTTAGACGTATACAATGATAAACATATATAAGAAATAAAATACATACCAAAACAGTGTACATTTTCATCATCTGTAATTTAACATAATTGTTTCGGTCGTAAAAAGGGTGTCTTTCTTCCAGTGGGTTACTTAACTTATACAAAGGAAAAGTCTACAAAAAATGAGTTTTATATTAATGTAGTTATATGGTGTTGTGTTGTGTGTCTTTTGATTAACTAAAATGTGACACCCATAACATCTGAGTAGATGTTTTTTCCCCTTGAGTTTATTATAGTGAGTGATAACATTTTGTGAGGGAATTCGATGTTTCCTATACCACGGATTTCAACGAAATTTGTGACAATACCACCATACCAATCAGATTTTTTGCAGTATTTTAAGAAATGATTTAACTTAAAAAGGCGAATTTTCTGTATAAAGGCAATAATTATGTAGACATTTGAAGCCCAAACTTTCTAATGCCTTAAGTACGCAAATGAAAGATCCGAAAACTGTAACAATGTTTTTGAAATTATAGCAAAACTTTTGATTGACAAATTGTTATTCGTTATTACAGAAAATGAACTTTAAAAATCTATCATTTTCTCCCTACCCAGTTTACCCTTATTACTTATTATGACGTGGACCGGTCATTGTTATTGAATTTTACGCAAATTGATTGGATTAAGCTATTATCAGTTTACCTTTAAACTGTTGAAATGTTTCATACATGTATATCGATTGAATCAGAACGTGCATGAATGTAGCAATAAAGATAAACAGGCTGTGCCTTATTTATTTATTCTTTTTTTAATTTATTACTAGTAAGCTGAAAAAGAGAGGCGAAGGATACCAAAGGGACATTTAAACTCACAAGTCGAAAATAAACTGACCGTCGCGTTACTTATGTTAGTATTGACTATCGTATTGAATTGTAATACAATGTACAACAAAATATATTTGAAAAAGTTGTTTTCTTAAAGCTGAATTATAAATGCTTTTCTTTTTACATATACACACAAGTGTACAGTAACTTAAATAAACTTCATGCTGGATAATGGACGAGTCCATATTATTTTCTTAATTAAACTAAAGGTATGAAAGGTAAGAATTGCGACTTCTTATATTTTCACAAAATTTTCCACATATGGAGTAGGGTTTTCCGGTTTGAATGGTTTTACACTAGTCATTTTTGGGGCCCTTTATAGCTTGCTGTTCGGTGTGAGCCAAGGCTCCGTGCTGAAGGCCGTACTTTGACCTATAATGGTTTACTTTTACAAATTGTGACTTTGATGGAGAGTTGTCTCATTGGCACTCATACCAAATCTTCTTATATCTAGATAAATTAGTTTTCCTTAGAAAAAGGAGTAAATTAACAAATCATACGTTTTATTCCATTAAACAAGTAATTTTTCGAAAAGAAATGCCAAAATACATTTTACTCACGGCTATGCCAGGTAAAAGTATTGTTTGTCTTAACCAAAAAAAAAATGTTTAGTCTCATTTAAATGTTATAATTACAATTAAACCCAAACAAAAGTAGTCAGTATATAAAGTCAAAATATGTCCGATCTGCCTATTTTTGTCTATTTTTGGACATTACAATTCAATACGAACGTTTTAAAGTCAATTTCTTGTTAAGTACTATAGTGTGTTTTCATTTGTATTTCGGACTAAGATCAAAGACTCGTTATCAAAATCATGTGTCCGGGTACGGTGCTATGTCTTCCTATAAACTGGTACCTATAAATTAACATGTTAAAACCAGTCTCCGGATGCCGATCTAGTGCAAATAAGAGTTAATTTTCATATTTCAATAATATGTTCATTGTCTGTTATATATGCATCTGGACTGTAAAATTACTATTGAAAATTGGTTTGCTTAGCGTCAACTAGCTTATGATCGGAAGACGTCATTTCCATTTAATTTACTGTTACGTTATAATTATTCAAAACACTAAGGTTTCTCTTCCCCCAGTCATAATATTAACTAAGTTGAACATATCCCCGTCCTTTGAACTCTGCTAGCTAGTTGTCTCATTGAAAATCATACAACAGCTCCTTAATTTTTTTGGAAGATTTTTGGGGAAATTTCAGTTCAAAATATTCTTTAACTTCATTACTGATTTTTGGCGTTTCAACTGTTTTGATTTGAGCGCCACCGATGAGTCTTATGTAGACATTCACGCATCTCATTATTAGCCTGAAATTTTTATGAGTTTTTACAATCACTGGGTCGATGCCACTGCTGGTTGACGTATCGTTCCATAGGTATCACCAGCTCAGTCGTCAGTGATCTTGTGTTGATATGAAATATCATTGATTCGGTCATTGCTTATAAGTTTACTGTTAATGAAACGATAAAATCATTCAAACCACCAATGTTTTGCTACACCTATGAATAGATGGACTCAGGCAGATTTGGATCAACTTTTGGGATTTTGTGATTCCCAATGCTATTTATCTCCGTTATTGATTTTGACTGTTATGACTTTAGTGCTGCTGGCGAGTCTGAAGCAGATGAAACTCTCGACTTGCGTATCAATATTATCAGCCTGGCAATATTAAAGAGTTTATTCATCCGTTAAACTCTAAATTTTTTTTTTAGAAATGTAAATTTCAATTCGTCGAGAAAATCGAGAAAAGGCATAAATAAAAGCAACAGTAGTTTACCGATGTGCAATCTCATAAATCGACGAAGAAGACAAATCAAGGTAACAAAGGAAAACTGAAAAAATTAAACTGACTTAACATATCAACTAGCAGATCAATACCTGAAGCGCATATCATTTCAATCCACAGACATTTAAAGCAAAACTTCCAGTAAAGCTGTACGGTTGCCTATAATTGCTTACATCCACTTCATTTGAACTTTAGTGGATAGTTGTCTCATTGGCAAGCATACCACATCTCCTTATTTTCATACTAGTAATTCTTACTTGTGATTTTTCTTTGATGTTGTGATCGATGTATGTTTCCTCTTTTGAAGCAATGACCGTCTTGTTTTGGTCCAAGAATCTTACGTCAAACCATAATTTATACAACGAACATGTTTGTAGTACCGCAACACAGGAAGAGAAATTTATATGTAAAAAATCTCTATTGACAGTTACGTTTTTGAAACAGCTACACAAACATCCTAAAGAATAAAATAAATGAAATTATTCATCTCAGTTATTTCAATGCCAAAATTCAGAATCAGTTTGAATTACACAACATTTCATCCGATTTGAACTATTTTCTTTTTTCAAGTAACAAAAGGGGTGTGATAATGATGATTGTTGGCTCCTTTCACAGTAAAGTTGATTTTCCGTTGGAGTTGCATAGGTACATCTTTTAAAATTTCAGTGATTTGTTAACGTTTTGAATAATAAACTTTTGAAATGTGATTAAGTATGTCAATACCCGCATTTCTAAGAATGAATATGTATTACATATCCCATTGTCCTCGATAATAGTTTTCAATGTTTTCCATTATAGTGAAAAAAAATCACACCTGATAAATAATCAAACAGTATTAGGAAAGAAATTAAAAAAAAGAACAATTTGTATACGAAGAATTCCTTTACCTTTCACATATGGTCCTGGTGTCTGACACGTCCTGTTCTCAGGCAGGAAACACTGATTGTTGTTGTGTCCAAAGACTGGAGAAAAAAAATAATGATTATGACACATACTCTTTTTTTATCCTAATAGATTAAAAAAAATTATTACCAAAAACTGCTAAAACAAGAAAGTAAAGGATACTTTGAGGATATGGTACATTCTGATTGTAAACTGTCAGTAAAAATAATTACACAGCTTTCACAAAAAAGTATTAACAAAAGTACCGAACTCCAAGGTAAATTCAAAAAAAGAGAGGTCCATAAAACCTGACAAAATCAAACAGTCGACTATATCAAACAACGGAACGAATAGAAAACAACTGTCATATTCCTGATATGGTAAAGGTTGAAACTCCCTTCTGTACAGAAGAATAGTCAAGAGTATCTGTTTAGATTTTTTTCTGAAGCACTCGCTTACCAAACATTGAGTCTCCCATTCCTACATGATAACACTGATTCCAGATAAAATGTCAAGTTGTGAATAGTGACATTATGATGATACTTTATATTACGATGAAAGCTTTGCAAGTTAACAATGTTTTGGTTGACGGGTTCTTCTATAGTAAGGAATCTTCAAAAACATTTCATAAAATCTTTACAGATGCCAGCAGAAGTTCTTTTGTAAAAGAAAATACTTTACAATGAATAAATGAAAGGTTTTAAACAACTTCTATAATTATCAAATTACATTTTCTTGACGGATAGACAAATATTAAAGAAATGTAAACATCTAAATTTGCACCTTTCGAAACACTTGAAAATGAAACTAATTGTCGCTTTGTAGATTAGTATTTTGATAAGGTGAATTTGTTTTTCCTTTTTGTTTCCCGTTGGACATATAACTCGTAACTTTTATACGTATTTACACCTTCCTAGATTTCAAATGTTTGGGTTCGAGCGTTCCTGATGAAGGTAAATGCAGAAAATATGCTCGGTCGTACGATATTTATGAAGCGTTCTTTTCATTTATTAACCGTTTGAATGGTTCGGTTAAAACATATTTGATTCTATATATTTTTCTATTATTAATTTCACCCAATATAACGAATATTACCTGATAGAAGAAGGCTAAAAACGATCAAAATCCACAACATCGCTAATAACATAAGACACAAATATCCTTCATACGGTCTTCTTCATCCTCAGACTTTCAAATGTCAAAGCGTTTTGCTCACATTTTGAATTTGACGGTGCTAATAGATAACTGCAATATAATTTTGATTTCGGTAGATTAAAGTTTGTTCACATTCAAATAAATTATTTTATTGTAAGGCTCCATATTCATGCGCTTAAAACAAAAACAAAATATCATTAAAAAATTGTTGCAAATAAATTAAAACTCATAACACATATTTGAGAGTAAAATACTAGTAAGAGAGAAGAACAGTTTACAGTATGAACCTATTATATTCCACACATTAGTCTTTTCATTTTAAGTCATTTGAAATAAAGCGAAATCGTTTCAAAAATTCAAAACAAAAATAACTAATGCATATGTTTAACATAATAACCCATAGTGTGTGTCCAATCTTTGTAAATGTCGCCTAGTTTTATTGTCACAGTTATACACACTTTCAACAAAACTATCAATCAGAGCGTTTAAAGTTTCCATTATAACCAATTTTCTTTTGTTAAGAGGTTAAGAGACAATTATTTGTTTGTTTTTAAAATGTGTCAAATTATTATTGTTTTGGATTGTTTTCCTTTTAAATTTTTCCAACTGTGTATGTAATGTTCATATATTTTACATTGCAACATTACATGATACGGAGGTTAATATAATGAAAATATACCACTGTTGTGGCTTTTGTTAACTGTTAATTACATATACATATAGACGTACATCTACGTATATATGTCGGAAAATATACAATTGATTTGTAAGAGCCTTAAAATTACGAAGACAAGCTGGGTTTGTCCGCCTTTTCCTGTTTCGTATTGAGGTTGTAAATTTTATTCAAAAATTTTCTGACAATGTAAATAAATATTGCCCTTATTACACTCTAAATCGTTGTCTTTGACTTTTTAAAGCTATCCACTGCTTCGGCGCAAACCGAGTCAAGGAATATGATGTATACAGTTATTTAAACATAAAATCCGTACATAATAAAATCAGGATACCAGGAGACAACATTTATCCACTTAACGAATATTGCATAAGTTCATTTGTAAGACTGTTTTTTCATAAAAAATTACAAACTCTTATTCTTACAGTAATTTTGTTTTGATTTCAGATCCATATTATCTGTTTAATTCATTTCGCAAAGCAAAACTAAGATTGAATAATGGTATAGATTTTACATTTTCCGAAATACCTCAGGAACATTTGGCTTTACTTGTGTTCCTTTTTGGTTTTATCAGACCTTCAGAATTCGTATTATGTTTTGGACTTTCAAATGTTTTGGCCTCGAGCTTCACTGATGAGACATAACTTATCGATTTTTCTCATCTTGTGCAATAAAATTAGTACTTTATATGTTTTTACTATCACTTGATTCATACATCTCTTGAACTGAATTTTAATTTGCGTATTGTTATGCGTTTACTTTTCTACATTGGCTAGAGGTATAGGGGGAGGGTTGAGATCTCATAAACATGTTTAACCCCGCCGCATTTTTGCGCCTGTCCCAAGTCAGGAGCCTCTAGCCTTTGTCAGTCTTGTATTATTTTTAATTTTAGTTTCTTGTGTACAATTTGGAGTTTAGTATGGCGTTCATTATCACTGAACTAGTATATATATTTGTTTAGGGGCCAGCTGAAGGACGCCTCCGGGTGCGGGAATTTCTCGCTGCATTGAAGACCTGTTGGTGACCTTCTGCTGTTGTCTGTTCTATGGTCGGGTTGTTGTCTCTTTGACACATTCCCCATTTCCATTCTCAATTTGATTTGATGGTGGACTGGTAGTCCCCAAGGGTATCAGCAGCCCAGTAGCTCAAAACTTCGGTAATGGTTTGAAAATACGGATATTGTCCAATTTGAATGACTATTGTACGGTTCAAGATTTCGAAATAATTTTGAATTAAGGAATGTATCTCTTTCATCTATTGCTCTGATTCATAGCCCGGGTTTGGTTTACTTTTGGTATTTTTATTTTCATTAGGTTCTGGTCTTTACATATTCTGGCCTCGAGCATCACGGAAGAGACATTCACTGTCGAAATACGCATCTAGTGCAATAAGATTGGTACCGTTTATGTTATTACGATTGGTACCGTTAATTTGATTAAATACCAATTACAAATACTGACGTTGTTTATCATCTTTATTACGTGTTATAGTGTTCTTTTTATTTGTCTTTGTGTATTTTTTAACCTTTACTGTTTAGTCCATTTTTGTTAATATCCTTTTGGCTCGGTATTTATACATCCCGCCATTTTGTTATTGTTCTATGGTTATTTTTGTATTTTTTGTCTTTCATTTTTGCTTATGTGCGTTATATATAGAATGTCTATATGCCATTGAGGTTTTCTTTGTTGACATAGTTGTTTGTTTTTTATAGTGATTAAGATTATAACACAATGTTGACTGCTGTACCCAAATTTTTGACATTTTCACCTATTATGTCTGTTTATTTTGCTCACACATTGTTGTTATTATAATGGAATTCTATGCGACCGACTGTCATATAAGTGAGAGGTTTAGCTAGCTATAAAACCATGTTTAATGCACCATTTTCTACATAAGGAAATACCTGTACCAAGTCAGGAATTTGTCAGTTGTTTGCCATTAGTTTGATATGTTTGAGCTTTTGAAAAGGGACTTTCCGTTTTGAATTTTCATTGAAGTTCGGTATTTTTGTTATACTTTTTAATGATCTTGTTGTTTTCTGGATTGCTGTGTCATTGAAACATACCCAGTATATCTTTTTCATGTAGGATTCAAATTATTGATAAAATACAAATCTCCATGATGTTATACCCTATTTTAAAATGTAACTTTTTAGTGTTCTTTTTGTATGTTATTGATTTGATCTAAATTGATTTGATGTTGGCAGTTACAGATATTAGATCCTTTTTTTAAAAGTTACTCAGACCAAACTAAATGTTTAGTAAGTATAATGTTAGGATGGCATGTACATTGTTTGCCTTTTGAGATAGTGAACGCCTTTTATTTCTTTCAATTTTAATAATTTTTCCATTTTTATTAATGAAACAAGCGTTTGGAAATGAAATATTTAAATAAAAAAAAACATAAGGGAATGATTTTGCAATTAATGTACCCACATAATTAAAAGATAAAAGCAACAAAGCATTTTAAAACAAAACAACAAAAAGAAACTTAATTTGATGGCTATTATTTCAACGTTATAGGTTTCAGGTAGAAGAAATGCATCATTGTAAAATTAAGTGTTAGATAAGCACACGAGTTCATAAAAATTATGTTTTAACAAACCGAAGTGGTTTTGACCCAGGTATGGAATTAACAGCTAGTAATAGAAAGAGGCACAGTAGTTAACTGATGTTCAAATCACATAAATCCTTTCAGAATATACAAAACGAGGCGAAAAAAAAAACCGAAGGGAGCGAGTATGGGTAAATAATAGTATACAGAATAAATAATTATCAGTAAATGTAATAGTTTTTTCTTTTCAATTTTTATTATCCAGGAATCAGCTGTTCTATAAATTCTTGTATGAATACATTTATGAATATTTGACTTTAGTTTATAGAATTTACTATATGAACTTGTTGTAAAGCTCTCGAATATTCTATGTTGTTAGCGGGTAACTGACGTGCAGTCCGTCGCCATCTAAAGAAAATAATAAACGCATTAATAGCCATCACGAACACAACAAGAATACCCAGTAAAATCGGAACAATCGGCAAGTTTTCGGGTTCATTCTTTTTAGCATTTATAGGACTTGTGCTGGTTTCCACTGGTATTTCTAAAAGCAATAACATAAGACTAAGTTATATCATAACATATACACATTTTGACTTGACCATGGGATTCAAAAAACTGTATAATCATATCTCAATAATTTCAATGTCAATTAAAGAACCTTTAGTGAGAAAGCTCTCATACCCCACGCCCCAAATATGAAGGACAAGAGCTTATAATGACCTGATAGCTTAGTTTTTTCTGTTTACTTTACGATAAGATTCGTTTCGGTTATGTTTTCAGGCAGTCATATTGTGCTAAAATATATTGTTAAGTAACAATGACTTCGACCTTAGACCTAGTGACTTCAAAATCAAAATTGGACTATTACATATGTCCATATTTACAAAAAGCTTGCAAATTCACATATAGTATTTGATTAAACATCCATAAACCAGTTTTCTGCTCAAATTTCAGTCTATTTTATTTACATCGAACTTCAGCTCGCACGTACTAACTTTAAAATCAATAGGCATATTCCTCTCATTATACTTGACCATATATCCAAGTATGATTACTATCTCTTATGTAATATTTGATTTAGCATCTGGAAAATGATTTTCTGCTACAATTTCAGTCTATTTTGATAACTATGAACTTCACCTTTTACGTATAAACTTAAATATCTAAAGGGGTCTTATCTTTATTGTATGTGACCATACATCAAAGTATGATAGCAATCAAATAAATATTGTTTGATTCAAATTCGGTACCACTCTTCTGTCCAAATTTCAGGCTATCTCTAATTAGTATGACCTTGACTATAGACATAGGATCCTCAAAATCAATATGGATCTTGCTTTCATATCCAAATATCCAAGTATGGATGCAATTCGGTATAAAGTATTGGGTTAGCATCTTTTAACAAAAATGACTAACGGACGGAGTACTCACGGACGGGCGGACTTACTGACAGGTCAAAAACTATATACCACTTCTTTATACATGTTAATAGAATGAATACTTTATAAATTTGATGTGTTCGAAGTGTTTTTCTAGAATTATCTTCATAATGAGCAGAAATACTGATTATCGAATACCGAAATGATACCTGATAAAGCGGTTGCTTGTTAGGACATTGTCCCCTTCATTTGAAAAAAAAATATTTTCTTGGTCGTACATCTCTTGAAGGGTGGTGTTGATTTTTTGAATGGTAACACTATGATCAACACCACTCTTCAAGAGATGTACGACCAAAAGCATATTGATGATGACACCTTTGACTATCTTCGACCTCTTGAAAACGAGGCCAAGGCAGGAAGATTCTATATGTTGCATAAAAAACACAAAACTGGCAATCCAGGTCGACCTATTGTCTCAGCAAATAGTCACCCAACTGAAAAGATATCTGAATTTGTAGACCATCACTTAAGACGTCATGTCTCAAGAACTCCCCTCTTACATTCAGGATACGACTGATTATTTAAAGAAAATGGAAAGCCTTAATCTTTTACCAAACAATACCATACTCGCATGCATGGACGTGTCTTCATTATATACCAATATTCCACAGGACAAAGGAATAGCAGCGTGTGAAGAGGTACGGAGCAATCGTAGTGACAGAAATCCTCCAACTGAGTGCCTTGCTACTCTTCTGAAGCAAGTGCTGGAGAACAACAATTTCTTTTTCAATGACAAACACTATCTACAGATATATAGTATGGGCACAAAAATAGCCCCGTCATATGCTAACATATTAATGGGCCAACTTGAAAAACGCCTCTTGGCTAGTGCTCCATACTAGCCAGTATCATGATTTCGATTTATTGACGATATTGATTTTAAATGGACAGATTCACAAGACCATCTGAATTAATTTCTAGTAACTGTAACTCTTTCCACCATTTAATTAAATTTACACATGAAACATGAATGGAGAAAATAAACTTCCTTGTTATAACGAGTTACATCCAGAACGGAACCATTATAACGGATCTCCATACGAAGAAAACAGACAAACATTAATTTATCTCTCCTCAAAGTTGCCATCCCAAACACTGCTCCCGTGGTATCCATTTCAGTCAGGCATTGTGAATCAAGAGAATATGCTCAACTGAAAATAAGCAAAATGCTAGACTTGGACAACTACGTAAACATCTAGTTGTTCGAGGATACAATAACAACAGCATTGATACAGCTTTCGAAAAAGCAAACAGAACAAGTCGCCAAGAACTTCTGCAGTACAAGGATAAGAATAAAAGAGTCAACAGAACACCTCTTGTACTCACTTACCATAATGATTTTAAAAATGTGTCATCAAATGTTCGAAAGCATTGGAAAATTATAGAAAATGACTCCAATTTGAAAAACAACCATTTTCCTCACCACCAGTCATGGCCTTCAGGAGACCTAAAAAAAACCGTGACAAATAAGTGACAGCCTTATTAACAAAGCAACCAACTACATCTCCTGGTTGCTACAAACAATGTGGGAGAAGGAATTGTTTATGTTGTAAAGCTGCCAATACTAGCAGTTCGTTCACCAGCTTCTTTACAAAACAAAGTAATACCATTTACGTTAATTCCAACTGTAAAACGGAGAACTCAATGTATGGATTAACATGTAACATTTGTGGCATTCAGTACGTGGGAGAAACAATGGACAAATTTGATATTCGGCTAAATAATCGTCGATCATGGTACAAAACCAACAAAAACTGTCCCCTTACCAGACATCTTCGCTCAAAGAAACATTCTTTTGATAATGTAACTTTTCAAATCATAGAAGTGAACATTGAGTGGGACAGAAAAAAAATTTTTGGATCCACCAGCTCCATACTTTAGAACCTGATGGTCTAAATGAAAAAGACGAGAAAAGGAACAGGAAAGATTAAGAATAATTTCTTATGTAGCATCGTCCATAACATCTCTGTAATATTGACCAATGGACGTTGCAATCTTACCTTTACTTCAACAATAAATAATCTTGAACATCATTCAAATTTTGAATTTATCTATATCAGCAAATATTCACTGTACAATGAGCTGCAATGTTTCTTATCTGCATCCGATTTCACCTGGATAGATGCACGCTGGATGAAAGTAATTTGTCTAGCGAAATATTGCGTTGATTTTGTATCGCATTGTAAATCTTTTAACATTTTTATATCTACATACTAAATAGTGTGTTCAAATTACATTGTTAGACAATATATAAATATATCTGTCAACGCGTGAAGGATATGTCTACGTGCATTGTTTGACAGAGGAAAGACAAAAACCTTAAGGTTCTATGTGAATAGTTTTAGAATGTCTTGTGGTGATTAGTCTGAATATCATTATCTTGAATATCGTGTCTGTTTGGTGTAGATCAGTATTATATCTTTCGTTGCAATTACGTTTAAATTGGCCTTGATTTCTAAATTCTCAAGGAAAGACTAGACACAAATCTAATTACATTATTTTTCGTATCATTTTCCCATAACCTTTATGGAAAATGGACTACAATTGTTAAAAAATTTAATAAAAAAGACTTAAAAAAGCAAACTACAAAAGCGAATCAATGCATTATATTAATACGAACTATAAAAAGTAATGGCAATATTAACTTAAAAATGTTCTTACCTATATGACCTATAGATGCACAATTGTCATCACAAATAGTGCAACCTGGCTGAATCTGAAACGATGATGTATAGTTCAAGTCTTGTATCCCTTTATAACCGGTTAGCTCTTATATTGGGGAGATATGACTAACAACTGTTAACTACTACCATCTTAAGGTTGATTTAAGGGTTGTTTCGGTGATTGTTATTAAACTTTTTTTTGTGTGCCAACTAAGGTTACGTTGGGTATTCTAAACTTCTGGTCTGGCAATACCTTATACTGAGAATTAAATAAATCTTTTGTTTTGTTGCTAAACTTGGTGTTGTGTGTGCATATTGCAACGGTATCCTAAAAAATGTTATCGTTTTATTTACTTTCAGAACTATAGGCTTTCGGCGTTCTTGTACTAGGCTACTCTAGAAAAAGCATTTCTGTAATAAGTAGTTTATTGAGGACATGTTTCGTACGACGAGGATTTGCATTTTATAGGTCCTTTTTGTAAGAAGCAGTTACATGACTAATGTGTGTTAACTCTTGTTAAAATTGAGCGGATATGATGGTTAAAAGTAAATATTTTATCATTTTCACTTATCTTTGTTTGTCCCAAACATTCAATCTGAATTGCATTTCGTTACTTTTTATAAATAATGTCTAAAAATGTATCATTTAAATGCAAACATTAAATGAAGAGACCTTTCTTTTCTCTCAAAGATCATTAGTTGTTTTTAACTTTAAAGGAACTTTACCGAAAATAATACAAATGGCTCTTTATTTTTGTTTTATTGAGGTTATCCTTTTCTGTGGATTTTATCATTAATTGAAACCATTGTCATCCATACGATTATGCCATTGCCTTATACTGCCTTATAATTTGATATATTTATTGTAAACGTATCCTTACTAAGATTGTATACTGCCTGTTCAGCTTCAGTTTGCGATCAAGTGATTTTGTCAATCCATTTAAAAGCAACAACTACAACAACAAAATGAAAGGTTATTGCTCCCATGAATAAATCTTAAACTCATTGGCCTTATATGAGGCCGCAAAATGTATCTGAAAAATACGAATAGCTCTAATTGTTTTATAAATTCATTAGCAATGAGAAAATGCAATTAACAAAATTAATTCATCATAAAATTTGAGGAAAACTTGGAATTAAGCATTTTTGCAGTGTAAAAAATTCTTTGGCTGTTTGAAATTAGAAATTACTTTCAACGCAATCTTATCAAACCAAAGCTTTCCTATTTAAATAAATGTCGTTTGAAAAAATCTGATTGCAAATTCATTTGCTTCAACTGATATATAGCTTTCTTCTCTACTGAAAAGAGTGCTAGATAAACTTACTGGGGTTGTGATGAAATGATTAAAGCAACTGTAAATTTTCTCCTAGATAATATTTATCTACATTTAGGCAATAAAGTTTATCGGCAGGTTGTAAGTATTCCTATGGTCACCAAGTGCGCCCCTTTAATAGCAAACTTGTTCCTGTACTGTTATGTAACACAGTTCATGGCCAAACTCAGTAAAGACCCGTCTTAATTCCATTTAATCGATAAATTCGGTAACACTTATCGTTATCTTGATCATATTTTTTCGTTAAATAATCAAGAATTCTCTAAATATATTGCAGAAATTACCCAAAAGGAACTTTCTTTAAACAAATAAAAAAATAAGCAGAAATAACTGTCCTTCCTTAGATTTAGATATTTCAGTTTTACACAGGAAACTCCACAGACAAATAAGCGACAATAAGGACGATTTTTCTTGTTTCCTATAGTTAGTTTTCCTTTTTAGATGGTGATGTTCTTTTGGCATCATCTTACGGTGTTTATATATCCCAAATTGTTCGCTATGCCCGTGTCTGTAGTGACGTTTTGGATTTCAATGAACGTAATCTATTATTAAGTAAAGGATTTCGTTAAAGTTTGGATGTACATGTAGACAACTTATTGCAAGAGGAATAGCACATCCTAATTTTTACGGCGATGTTGTTTACCGAGCCCGTTATTTTAGATACGATTCGAGTAAACTTATCGATCCTTGAAATAAACTCATTCTAAAAGGTTACGAATTCGACACTGTAATTATGTCGTTGAAAAATGTTCTTACCGGTATAAATATTGATTTTGTTATCAGTAAATTAAAACCAAACTAAATATTATTCTTATACACATATGAACATCACGGTCCTACAACCTGTCGATATCTATATTTTGGCATTGCAAAAGGTCAGGCTTTTCATGGAATGTTAATGAATTCTTTACACTTAATCCAATAGATGTTGAATGTGAAATGATTGATACTTTAGTCTTAGATACATGATTTTTTTATTAGTTGTTATTGGCTTTGACCTAGTTTTCAGTAACTGCGAGCACTCGCAGATCTGTACTTTGTATATTTTTTTGTTTTTTTTGTGCTTTGTATTGATCTTATTGAGTTAAGCCCTTTTCAACGGATTTTTTATGGTTTGTTCTGATGTTGTTATGTTACACCACTATCCCAGGTTAGGGGGTGGTTTGGCGCCTTCAAACTATTTTACTTGCCGCATTATGTATGTTTCTGTCCCAAGTCAGGAGCCTGTATTTAAGTAGTTGCCTTTTGTTGGTACATATCTTATTTGTTTTTCGCTTATTGTTTTGTACACAAATCAGGCCGTTAGTTTTTTCGTTTGAATGGTTTTAAAAGTTGTCATTTGGGACCTTTCATAGCTTACTATGCGGTATGGGTTTTGCTCATTGTTGAAGGCCTTACTGTGACCTGTAAATGTTTAATTTCTACGCCATTTGATCTTTGGTGGAGAGTTGTCTCATTGACAATCATACACATCATCTTATCTTTGTTTTGATATTTCCAGCTTACAACCTTGCCCACTACTAACCAAAATTGAAAACTGCTGAAAAAAAATTTCACCTTTGACCCGTTATCGGTTCTGTAGTTTGGAACAATTTTCGTTTTATTGATAACATGTCCATTCTCGTCATTTAACTCTATTTCAAACCAAAATTCGTAGATATGACATTGTTCTAGAAGCTCCATGCATGGAAAATATGTAATTGTCAATTCCATTCTGTTTATTGTAACATCCAAACATTCACAAAAACAAACTGAAATACAAAACGAAATTAACTTAAAGGTAAAGGCTTTACTGTTATTGTGCTAAAAGCTTTCCTTCAAATAGAATAAAAGTGTCCGTCCAAACTAGTAAATTTAGATGTATAAGAGATGAATAGCTTTATAAAAAGAAATAAACGGAATTGATAAACAACAGTTTGTAGTATGAGGCTACTACGTAGTAATGTGGTATACCGATATTAGTTCAACTATCATCAGACTTGGTATACACAAGCATGGAAACGAAGAAAAGAAAATACGAAATGAATAAATTCCTTAGAAAGTGAGACAACGTGTTTCGACAAGTGTAAATATCTGCTAGCTTGCATGCAACACTCTTTATTCAATTGAAAATCATATCCAGTGTAAAGTGCAACGGATCAGATCATGAAAAGACCGATACAAATATCAAAAGGAGTAGCGTACATAAGGAATAGTGACTGAGTTAAAGCATTTCTAGTAAATTGGGACAGTAAGGCATTGTAAGAGTCGACAATCCTGTGGTGTCGACCGTAAGACTTGATACGTTTCAGATATTAGGTCTTCCTAGATTTCCTGCGTTTGTTGAGGGTAAACTATTTTTTTTCTAAATAACTATTATGCGAATATACTTTAGTGTATCGTATAGGTATCAACTTGAAAAACCTTAACGCTGTAAATGCCTCAAAAAAATAGAAAGCTGGAAAAGGAAAACTGTAATCACTGCGTTCATCATAGATCCGATAGTTTACAAATTAAGACGACTGCGTAGCAGACATTTTTTTTAAAACCTACCTATACTGTCTACACCTGGTGACATACAGGAAACGTTTCTTATCAACGGACACGAATGTACTCCTTCGGCTAAAAATACAACGAAAATACTTTTGTAATACTAAACATGAATAAGTTCAAAATACAGGGTAGAATCTAAATCATCATGAACGCATTATTAATAATAAATAAAATGCAAACTTTACAGGAATATTCATAAGACGGTCATCTACCTATTTGTAATTTTGATGTCGCTGGTAAATCTATGATAGCCGCCACGGTAGGACATAGCTAACATAGGACCTTCTAGGAAAAATTACATTGTAATCTTTTCTGAAACCATTGTGCCAATTGAAACCAATTTTGACATGAATGATCATTGGATAGTACTCTTTCAATTATTTTTTTATATCTGATAGTGCCTCCCTCCGTTCAAAATGGCAACTGTTACTAAGAATAGATTTTTAAATAAATGAATTATTGCACAAGAGTAGAATTGACAACTGCTATTGAGTTGAGTTGTCATTGGACAAAATTTCACTATTCTCTTTAGTTTGAAAGTTGTCTAACATGCGTAAATGTGGAAGTTTTATTCTTGACTATTATGCACTAGGTGAGCAATTATAGGCTTCTAGGATGTTCTTGTATATAAGTTTAATTATATCAAACAAGTCTAAATGTGAATTTTGTTCGATTATTTGGCACAAAAACGACCTCCATATTGTAGTATTAGCTCTATTCAGCATTAAGATGTAAAAAATGATGCATTTTGAAGAAACTGAAATGAATTGTTGTTTTGTGTTTTCATCTATAGTCATCTAAGTTTTTGAAAAAATGTTTTTTGGACAAAACAGTTTCCTCTTTGAGCTCAAAAGTAGAATATTTTGTATTCAAGTTTTGAAAATCAGAATTTATATATTTGAACTTTATCTTTATTTATATTCATTTTATGCATCAGCGAAAATAGACTTTCTTCTAACAAATTAAACAAGTATCTTTTTTAAAAGTATCTGTATCATTTAAGGAATGAATGTAATACTTTTTCTGTCTCTAAAGAAATAACACCAAAAATGTGGTGCACACTGAATAACCTGCGTAGCTGTTTATTTAAAAATTTTGCATCACATTTTTTAGGTTATTTCGAATAGACAGAAAAAATATTAGTCATCCCTTATAATTTAATTCTAAATTACATTTTTAAGGAGTAAATCATGAAACAAACGTTGATGACGTCACGGTCAAATGACAAAATTATGTCTATGAGGTGATAGACAAAAAAATCTCAGCCAATCAGAAGATGTGTTACATTCAAAATTAAATTAAGTAGAAATAACATTTAACTAAGATGAATACAAACCACTAATGCTGGTGATTACAGCTATACTACTGAGTACCAGAGTAATAAGATGTATATTGAGGCTCTTGTTCATGGTATCTCTTCATTCATCAGTAAATTTACGTTTATATGCCTAAAACAAACTAATGAAATTCATCATACATATGGAATCAAAACAATTAGAAGGCCAAATCGGTAACATTGTGGGAAAGCATTGAAAAGTTGACACATCAAGGATAAAAAGTTTATAATTTTGAACACCAGACGTGCGTTTCGTGTCTTTAAGACTTAACAGTGATGTTCGTAATAGTGGTAATGCCATACGATTAAAGCTTTACTAGGAGAGAGGTGAGCACCAACCTCGTCGGCGGCAGTAAGTATTTGCTCTGATCTTCCTATCAAAAGAGTTCTGTTTTGGGTGTAATGTTTTGTTGTACCAAACAACATATTTGAACATGACATATTAAAGGAAAATAGAATTACGTATTTTGAAATTAAAAATAGATTTTTTTATCAAATGCATTGGTTTTGGTTATCTTCTAGTCACTGTTCAAATAACTTTTAAAAAATACAGGTCTATGATGGTGCTATGATAGTAAACTATTTGCATATTTAAATGAAAATGCTTCGCAGATTGCTATTTCATTACATGTCTAAATAAAGGAGTCTGAATTTCAATAAAAATGTTGATATAAAATAAGAACATGAGACAGTATACGCTAAAATACTTTTACCTGTTAGATTGCCTCCATTGAAATATTCAACAAATGATAATTACAGTATTATACAATTTACATGTCCTTCAAAATTTCATTAGCTCTGTAGGTATGATCAATATGATACACTAGTTAAAGTTAGTCAATTATAGATAAATAATATATTCGGAACTCATTTTGTAATTCAATACACGATCAATCCATTTAAATCTTAAATCTACATTTTTAACTGTCTTTTTTTTTCTTTTATTTGTTTCTTCAAAACGTTAATCGACTGAGCAACATCTGATTATTCTTTACAAGTATATTCACGTTAATGATACATCTCAAATGTTGTAAATTTTGTTATGTGTATGGTTATTGTTTGCACAATTATAAACGGAATTTTATTCTTTAATTAAATATTTTTGTATATTCAAATAAGTTAAGTTGGGATTTCGAAAATTATTCAATTATATTAAGCTGTTATTTTCTATTGCACCATATTTTGAACTATGAATATTGTTGAAAAGATGTATTATATAAGGTATTTATAATTATATAAGTAGGAATTAAAGTTATGGAGTATACGTCATTGAGGCAGCAACTCTCCGAAAAAAGAAATATACTAGTAGGTCAATGAATTGTCTACAACAATCAATAAATGTTTGTACAATATGTCAACCTCTAAATCACAAAGAGTCGTATAAGTTGTGAATAGATATAACAGACTTTCAAACTCCAAAAACAGAAAAATGAAAAGAACATTAAGATTTCACTAACGACAATCACAGACGATGTTCCTGACTAGGAACAGTCACGTAAACATTTGACGAGATATACTAGATTTGATTTATATTCTTTACCCTTCCTTTTAATCTCGATCAGTGAAATAACAAATGGTTGATAGCAGAACAAAATCCCCTACAGGAAAAGCACTTTTATCTATTTGATAACAATAACATAATTCCAAACGAAACAATAATAAATAATACCGTATAAAGAATGCAAACAGCCACCTGTCCTTATACTGCTGATATCAAATCACGGTGTATGTAGAAGGTTAATTCAAGTGTTTTGCAATATCCAGAAGCAAACCTTTCACTGTACTATCTTAACTTGTTTCTAAGAAATGCGATGGTACTAGATGTGTTGAAGGACACTACAGCAATATCCACATTCCTTGATGTCAGTTTGTCTTTTTTGAGATTTGATGTAAAAAAAATTTAAAAACCAACTTTTCGAAATGTTTTGTTTGCAATGCTCCTCAACTTCGTGTTTGATTTTGCCTTTCAATTGTCTTTATTCGAGCGGCACTGGTAAGTCTCATGTAGACGATACGCACGTCTGGTGTAACATATTATCAGCCTGGTATCTTTGATGAGTTTTTTTTTTAGTTTTTTTTTCACATCAACAAAGGGTGTTATTTAGAAACGATTATCAAAATACTATTTCGAAAAGTACAAAAAAACATAAAAACATTATTGTACAAAATTGCAATTGAAAACAACACGTTTAATAATTTCATGCGTCCGAACTTTCCTTCAAAAGTTGATAGTACTTCTACAAGTGCTCTCTCTGGATATTTTTTTATTGATAAAGGAGTTACGATACTAAGCTAAAAGTCGGTTCAAATAATTCATAGATATTTTTGCACTGATAACAGTAGGATACCAGCGTATTTTGCAAGCATGATAAAGGGTCTTTTCAAAACAACATAGCTTAGGGTTTTATAATTACGGACACTGTAACCTTCAAATCTATTGAAAAAGCAAACGTAACAATTTCATTTAAATATGATTTGAAATATAGAGCACAACTTCTGGCCATCAAGGTAGTTCAACGGAACACTGTCAGGGGATATACGTTTATATCTTATTGATATTAAAGTGTATCCCTAAATGATTTCTACATTTGTATATGAAGTACTTTGAGCTTCCTTTTAGTAACTAGAAACCTTTTGTAAAACACTAGTCTTTTGTAATTGGGCTGCTGTTTTATTGATGTACAGCTCATACCTCATTGCGTTCATTCACAGTACTTTTGTGGTGTAGAATGTAACACTTCAACCTTTTACAAAAATGTCAAACAATATTTGATTTATTCATAACATTTCATGGTTGTCAAATCCAAAGAGACACCAAAATGACATATCGTACTTTCTAACTTCCGAACTCGATCCAATGCTGTTATACATTTCAGAATTTTAAGTACATTATAAATTGATGTAAAATCACCTTACATTTATGCCTTTCTGGATAGTGTCTCAGCACGAGAAAAGTGTTTCGGAATAAATGTCATTTCCATCTAAAACAGTATAACACTCATCAAAAATACCAGGCTTACAATTTGGTACGCCAGAAGCGTTTCATCAACATTAGACTGATCAGTGGCACTCAAACCAAAACCGTTCAACAGTTCGGGGGGATTTTTAAAAAAATAGCCAGCTTAATCAGACTTGTCGAATTTATATGACCAACCACATAATTATAACAAAAATAAGAAACAAGAAATGAAAAAAAACACCCGTGTTAAATGTTACATCAAAACAAACGAAAGACCCGACATCGTACAGTAAGCAGTATAAGAAAAAGTACATTTGCCTCTGCTGACGATTGCATTTCAAGTTTTCTTTAGTTAATATATCTTTAATTGTACGAATAAAATTCAATAAAGATACCAGGATTATATTTTGTACGCCGGACTCTCGTTTCGTCTACCAAAATACTCATCAGGAAATCAAACAAGTTATAAGGCAAAATAAAGTACGAAGTTGAATAGCATTGAGGACCCAAACTTCCCAAAGATTTGCAAAATAAAGCTAAGGTTTATATTCCTACGGTAGAAAATCATTAGTATTTCAAACAATTCAAAGTCTGTAACCAGTTTATTTATAAATATGACAATACCAACGAAAATTCATAAGATCCTTATCCATGTTACAAACAATAAAGATACCATGTGTATACAATAAAGGATAAACAACTTGCAGACACTACCATAATATTTGTAACAGAAAGAAAACAAATGAGCTGACATTGTGTCATAGATCAAATTTATTCGTTCAGTGTATGTTTACTTGTTTTTGTTAATATGTCTTTTTGATTGAGTTAAGCCATTTCAATTGATATTTTATAGTGTGTCTTTCTATGTTGTAATGTTACACTACAATTTCAGGTAAGGGTGAAGGTTGGCGCCTGTTAAAACGTTTAAACCCGCTGCATTTGTTTGAACCTGTCCTAAGTCAGGAAATAAATACAATATTAAATAAAAAAGGGGAGATGTAAAACAATGTCAAAACGACAACTATAACCTTGGACAAAATGCCGTTAAATAAAATAACGTACACAGGTAAATTTATATATAATAATTTTGTTGTTAGGAGTACGGAAATATTTTCTACAAAATAAATAAATTTGTTGTTCAGTACGAGAACAGAAGTGAAAATTTATCGTCATACTAAATACTTATCAAATGTGGTACATATCAAAAATAGTGAGACGAGATATAACACAAAATAAGTAAACATTGAATAAAAATAAAATGCATTACAAATTGTGTCAACAGGTCAAATCAACACGAAAGTACGATTTGAGAGTACTCGCAGTTACTGAAAGCTAGTTAAAAGCCAAAAACAATTCATAATTAAAAATCATGCATCAGAGACTAAAATCAACTAAAACACATCCCAGGGATTTAGTGTTTTAACGCCATGGACAGTCAAAGAAGACATGACTTGTGCAATGCCAAAATAAAAGTATCGACAGGCAGTAGGATAGTTAGGATTTAACCTTATAATAAATATGTATAATGTTATATATATATAGATAAAGCAATCTCTATATAGAAAATGAACGTGGATGTGTATTTATACATCCCAAAAATCCATTCGAAAAGAATACAAATTTAGTTATGTTTTTAATTTGTTGATGACAAAATCGATATTTGTGCCAATTATAACAATGTTCAAAGATCTTATTACAACATTAATAAGCTAACCTTTACTAATAAGTTTATTTAAAGGTTCGATGAGTTTACACGGATCACATAGTGGTATCCGCGCTTTTAGTACAATATTACCGTAAGTTTCCCTTTAGAAATTGAAATGTCTAAATCTAGAAAAGGACAACTACTGCTGTTTATGTTAGATTTATTTAAAGTAAGTTCCTTGGGGTAAATTTCGGTAGTATATTTAGAGAACTCTGGATTATTTAACGAAAAAATATCATCAAGATAACGGTAGGTATTGTTGAATGCGTCAACCAAATGTAACAATGACGTGTCTTTACTGAGTTTGGTCATAAACTGAGATTCATAGCAATACAGGAATAAATCTGCTAATAAAGGGGCGCAATTAGTGTCCATAGAAATACCTACTACCTGTCGATACACTTTATCGCCGAAACTTACATATATGTTGTCCAGGAGAAAGTTTAAAGCTTCAATCATATCTTCACATTTCTAGTAAGTATATCTAGCATTCTTTCCTTTTTCGTTACAGAAAAAGGCTTTAAACGAGTTACAGCAAATAGATTTGCAACGAGATTTTTCAAAAGACCATTTAATTAAATATGAAAACTTTTTCTTGATAAGGTTGTGTGGAAGTGTAGTGTAGAGAGTAGAAAAGTCATAACTGTCGACAGAATTAAAAGGACCATCAAATGCACGTAATTATCTAAAACCTCTAAAGAATTTTTAACACTCCAAAAATAATTTATACCATTATTTTCATAAGCTTTATTACAAAAGTTAATAACAAGTTCTTTGATAGTAGCAAGGGAGGTAGTTAAAAGCACTGAGAGATTAGAAGTAGAACACTTACTAGATGCGTAGATGAAACGAAATTTAAATGGTTGTTTGTGTAATTTAGGTAACCATTACATAGTCGGGACTTTTAAATGTTCGGAAGAGGCTTTAAGCTGGGTAGTGGCAGTGATATGCTTGTTTACAATTTGACTCTCTGTGGAGCGTACGGACCTGAATGTAGAAGATTTGATAATTTCGTTTTGAAATCTTCCGTGTAGTATATGCGTCACACCACGACTACATTATTGGCTGCTTTGTCTGCCGGTACGAACACAAACCGCTTTGCGAGTACTTGGAGTTGATTTTTTATTCTAGAAATGGGTA